AGTCATTCTTCAGAAAATCACACTTTTTGTTTCATTTTTAGAACAAGTGTGCAGGCTTGTCCTCTGACCTGGATGACCTGGTCCACCCATTAAATCTTTCCGGAGCAGTTCAGGGCCTCATGCAGCCTGGCCAGTAAAAGATAGGGAGGAATGGTTAGTGCCGCTTTGTGAATGCTTGTCCTCATTTTAAAGGTAAAGCTGTTCACATCCACCACAGATTGGATAGCCTGGATAATGCAGGCCAGCTTTCTGTGGGCTTCGGGGCCCGGGCACGTCAAGGAATGCCCCTCTCCGCTTGTTCCCACGTGGACTTGGAAAAGTTTGCTGGAGTCAGGTCGTGGGTATGCTGGGGGGCTGCAGAGGAGAGGGGCGCATCAGTGGCAGTTCCTCTCCAGAGCGGCTCACCCAGCACCTGCCTTGACTTCATTTCATCACTGGGCAAAGGCATTTTAATTTCCTCATATCTTTTAAGCTGCTTTGTTTAACTCTGTGACTGGTTTAACGCCACAATTATACTTTCATTGTTATGGAATTTAAATTGAGTTCTTGCTGCGAGGCTTTCCCGGAAACCAGCCTGCAAGGACCGCAGGCGTGTCCCCGGTACATAGGAGTGGTTGTGGCCAGACGGTGGCCAGGGGCGGGGGGATGCTTGCCCGTTCTTGCAGGCATGTGGCTCAGGCGTGCGGCATGCTCTCTGGTCTCCAGTCAGGCCACAGACCGGTCAGGGCCTGCATTCTGTTCCCGCAGCAGCTGCACGGACCTCTGGCCAGCCCGCCAGCAGGACGTGAGGCAGCAGCCCTCCCTTTTGTGCTCTCCAGCGACCCGCATGGAGACACAGTCCACTTCAGATATGGGCCGGCGATTGGTTTGTTCTCTGCACTTCCATGCTTAATCCTTGCAGTAAGAGCAGGTATTGAGAATCATAGCAAATGCCGGCTCTAATTAAGCCATGTGTTATCTTGGCCAGCAATTGCTTACACCAGGGTGGTCCTGTTGACTTTATGAATTTATGCCTGTAAATGGTCATTAAACTGCTTCCTGAGTGCAGAATCCAACTGGATAGAGGGTATCAGATAGCTATTCATTAAAAAGCTTTGCATTTTTAGAACATCAAAGGAAATGGTTGTAAACAGGAAGCCATTGCCTTATCCCCCCTTCCCTGTTGTTGCAGACATGTGTATGCCCCCCCCCAAAAAAAACACATAAAGGAGGTTAAGCCACAACCACTTGCCATACTTAATAGCTGAATTTCCACCTATGTTTACCACTAGATAAATGGCCCACAAATACAGAAAAATAGCCAGAATAGAGATGGTTGGTGATGCAGTCGAGGGAACATTTCTCAGAAAAAGGGCTTGCCTGGTAGAAAGGCAAAGTTGGGCTGACTGACAGATGTTAACACTTCGGAAGCTAACGGAATTGGGTAAAAGCAGAGAGGTGGGATTGCGGAGGTCAATGTGCATCTGTTCTTCTGGCTTTGAGTCGTTTTAGGGATCCTTGCAAGCGTTTTGGTGGGGCCACATCTGGAAGGTGCGCAGAGATGTCTGCGAAAAGGTGGTTGCTCTAAGCAGAGCACCCTCGCCCCCCAGCAGTGGGGTCAGGGGCAGGTGCCATCGTGCATCTTGAATGTTATTGCCCTCAAACGGAGCTTGTTTTGTTTCCTTCTACAGGAAGGCATGAAGCCTTGAGCTGTATTAAATAAGTCCTTCTGTAGTGCCTGGGTAAATGGCACTTGAAAAGTACTCCTGTGAAAATTAGATGCTTCAGACCATTAAAAGGTCCTCCAGCTACACCAGATCACCTTTATTTCATGTTCCAAACAGCAGTAAGAGTTTCAGCGTATTGATCTGAGCTGTCGTGCCAGTTTTGCCGCCTCCTTTTCAGAGTTTGCGTTTGATGCGAAAAGGGGCCAAGAGAGGGCAGTAGGGAGCTGCTTTGGGCTTTTGTTTGGGGTTTTCTGCAGGATTTCTATCCCTCCCTCCAGCAAGCTTCCAGAGAGGGGTGCAGCCTGCCAGAGAACCCAACACAGATAGTCAGCATAAGAAGGACTCTCGCAGAATGCCTGGGAGGCCCACCCAGAACAAGAGGGGAGCTGTGGGATGGACCAGGCCTAACCTGTCCAGCAGCCTGCCACACTGCGATCAGCCCATGGGAAGCCCACAGTGTGGAACTCAGGCCAAGCGCCGTCCTGCTTGTGTCCCGCCTGCTGCTGGCGTCCCTTGGCTTGCTCAGAGCCTCTGATGCAGCGCTAGCTCCGAGCCACTCAACAGCTTTCCCCTTTCAGAGCGCACTCCAGAGTTCCAACTATGCTTTGTTCAGAGGCAGCTTTGGGGCAGCACCTGATCCGCCGCGAATCTCCCAGCAGTCAGGATGAGACTGTAATGCTCAGTGTTGAGGAAACGGAAAGGTGATTTTTCTCCCTGTCTGTTTTCTCCACACCATGTATAATCATCATGTCCCCCAGATTATGCGTCGCCTCGGATTTGCAAGAGCCGAACAGGGCTGTCACGGGCAGGGCGTTCGGAAGGGCTATCCTTCACAGGCCTCCATGTTGGAAACAACTGGATGGGATGTCACCTCAACACGCTACGCTTTTCTGTGCTGCTGTACTTCACATAACACACCATTTTGTAAGAAATTAATTGCCACAAGATACAGCAGAGCCATTTTAGATGGCCTTAAAAAGCCTCTAGTCTGTCCCTAGCCGTTAGTCCTTGTGTTTCTGCGGAATGTCCAAGCCTGGGGCCCGTGCACATCGGTTGCTGTGGGGAAGGCAGTGACAGAAGAGGTCTGTTTCTGCCACACACGGCTGATATTCCTACGGGAGGCACCTGAGTCAGCCTCAATAGAAACGGGGCGTTATGGGAATTGCAGTCAAACACATCTGGAAGCTGCCAGGCTGGGAAAGGCTGACGTGCACACTGATAAATCTCAGATGATTGGCCGCCCTTCATTTTAAGCTGGACAAAATGGAAACGATGAAGGGAAGTATTCTTGTTATTCATTTGTTCCTAACATGTAATGGAATTGCTGCAAGTTGTGGTTGATTCTTTTGGAATTTCAAGGGACTCGACAGGAAACTGGTGCAATGATTTGTCCTCCTGAAACAGGCAGTTTGTTGCATGGCCTGCAGCAGTGGTGGCGAACCTTTAGAGACCCAACTGCAACCCAGGACCCACTTATTGATCGCAGAGGGCCAGCACGGCAATACAACCTGAATACTGAGGTTTTAGTTTAGAAAAAACACTTCACAGCTAGTCCAAGGATATGTCTGTCTGTCTGTCTGTCCATCCGTCCTTGGCAGCGCACTGACCGGCCATGCGAAAGCTTGGACGAGTCACAGCTAATGAGTTGGGGCTCGTGATGTCATCGCCTGGCACTACTCCTTTCCGAGCATGCGCACGGCCCCTATGTGCGCTGTTACCCGATGCTCGGCTGCTGGGGCGATGCTGGGGTGACTCGGCTCGCGTGCCGAAAGAGGGGGCTCTGTGTGCCCACTGTGGCACGCATGCCATAGGTTTGCCACCACTGGCTTGACCCTACCCTGGTGGACTCCCTTAACCCTAATATAGAGGTAGGGGCGGTTTTGAAAAAGCCTTCCTTGAGTAGCTTTTTCTGCACAGCTCATCATTTCTGCCCCTTCTAAACACGTTCCAACCCTCAAAACCATGCCAGGATGCCTCATTTTACTAACCCTAACCCTACCCTGGGGCACACCCCTAACCCTAATATAGAGGTAAAACACCATTGAAAGGGGTGGTTTTGAAAAAGCCCTCCCTGAGTGGCTTTTTCTGCACTGCTCATCATTTCTGCCCCTTCTAAACACATTCCAACCCTCAAAACCATGCCAGGACACCTCGTTTTACTAACCCTAACCCTGCCCTGGCACACACCCCTAACCATATTGTAGGCCACCATGGGTCTACAAGATGACCAAAGCCAAAATATCATGAAGATGGTATGCTTGTCCTTTGCGTTTGATAGTCGATAGAGATTCCTTCCAGTGTGGTAAAGACTGTGTCACACTCACAGCTGCATTGATTCTCACATTGCTGCTGGGCATGATGCAGGGTGCTGGAACAGCTTGCACCCAGATGACCCGAAGGAGTGCAATCCTTGCTTTCCCCCTGCTAGTGGGTATCTCTTCTGTGTGCCAGCACAGTTGAGGCAAAGCTGGCTGGGACATGCGAGAGCTCTCTGTCTGACCGCAGAAGAATTATGGAATTCTTTTCCACACAAAGCCTATTTGGGCCCTTTCTGCCTGTCCTCTGCAGTTGTCTTAAGTCCTCTTTATTTAGAGAGGGTTTTAATCTTGCTGTGCATGAATTTGTAATGCTGGTTCTGATTATACTACTGCATTTGTGATTCTTTATTCTAGTACTGTATTTTTGACCTTTTTATGAAGCTATTTAAAAAAATGTGAGGCAACTTAAACATTTCTTTTAGCAATGGAAATGCAAGCTATAAATTTCCTAAAATAAAATCAAGAAACCATAGAACTTGCTCTGCAGAGTCAATGTCTAAATCATTCATTTATTTAACTAACAGTATTTATGACTTGCTTACATTAAAATATATTTCTAAGCAAAATACAAAAATACAGGATAAGATGATAATTAAATGCCACATATTGCTGTATGCAGAATAGAATTTTGCCTTCCTGGTAATGTTGTTGGAAAAAGTGTTTTTATACTGGGTGCTGAAAACCCCAAAGGGTTGGTGCCTTTCTAACTTATACTGGTTCTAGTATAAATTAGAACTCTTTTGCATCATGATGCAAAAGTCCCTGTTCTGGACCAGACCTCTGCAACCTTGGAGGGCAAGTCCTGATGAGCGCAGCAGCTGAGCAGGCGAGTGCCGCTTTGGGAGTGGAAATCCAGGCACTGTTTTGCATTCCCTGGAAGAATGCACTCTGCAACAGAAGCTGCTTTTAAAAATGTCTTCAGAATGAATGTGTTTCAGTTGCAAAAAATGATTCCTCTTTATCTTTGATTTCACAGAAAAGCAGGGTCCGGAACGGAAGAGGATTAAGAAGGAGCCCGCAACTCGGAAGCCCAGCCTGCTCTTTGGGATGGGGCTTTCAGGGATCCGTGCGGGTTATCCACTCTCTGAGCGCCAGCAGGTTGCCCTTCTCATGCAGATGACGGCAGAGGAGTCTGCAAACAGTCCAGGTGCGGCAGACAAGCGGGGGGCTCTCCTGCTAGGTGCCGAGGCTGCCTCAGTGGGCCTCAGAAGCATCTAGTCGGGTGTGTCAGATAAGAAGCTTGGCGTTGCCCCAGATTGCTTTGCTTGCAGCTGGTGAGGAGAGACTCGATGCCTCAGATGTGGGACGCCTTCATTCCTGAGAGGGACCACAGCTGCTTTGTACAGTATTTGCTTTATCACAGTGTTCCATCATTAATATCGCCATTGTGCGTGCAAAGGCATTCCTCTGCTTCAGAAGATTAACACACACACACACACACACACACACACCCTGTGCGCCTCACAGCTATTACCTCTGCTTGAAGGCAGGATTGTAACTCTGTGGCAACAGCTCCCTCTAAAGGCTTTGGGGTTTGGGCTTCGACTCGAGCTCCTCCTTCATATGTGCTTTTCTTCCTCTCCTGCCAGCAGTAGATACAACACCAAAGCATCCTTCTCAGTCTGCGGTTTGTCAGAAGGGAACTCCTAATTCTGCCTCCAAAACCAAAGATAAAGTAAACAAAAGAAATGAACGCGGAGAGACCCGGTTGCACCGGGCGGCTATTCGAGGAGATGCACGACGCATCAAGGAACTCATTATTGAGGGTGCGGATGTCAATGTGAAAGACTTTGCAGGTAATCCCTCTGGAGGGAAGTCGTTCCGTGACTTGTGGGGTGGGGGTCGCTGCGCTGCATGTGTGCGCTCCTTTTTTCCCCTGTGAGGAACCCAAGGTGACAAGTCTTCTTACCCGAGTCCCCCAGCCTGAGCTTGGCTGATGTGTTTCAAGGCAGGGTACCAGCAGCCTGTGGATAGGCACTGGCCCAGCTCAGTGCAGTTACTGGCGCAGCAGCAGCAGCAGCATCTTTCTGCTCAAAAGGAAGGGGGAGTGGTTTGGAAGACCTAGAATGCCACCTGCTGCTTTGATTCTGGGAGCCGGCATCCGCGGCTTCCTATTCCTCGTTTCAAGTTGGCGACGTGCGTTTGCTTGTGGCAGCCCTGTGACCTTTGGCACAACTTGTCCTCCTTGGCACGTCTCTGCTGTTCCGTTTCCTCTCCCACCTCTCCCGCTTTCCTTCCACTTGCCAACCAAACTTATAATCTGGGTGCTCTTGCTCCCAGCTACCATCACTTGCCATCCGGTGTCGTTCAGGGCTTTCTAATTCTCCAGATAATCCAGATTTACCTCTCTCACAAGTCCTAGTATTTCGCCAGGGCAAAGTTTAACATGTGCTCACGGGAGGATTTAGTTCCTCTGCCTTGTCTTTCTGTGCATTCAGAAGCTCCAGTGGGTTGTTACTTGAAAAGGCCTGGCATCACCGTGGAACCGAGTGTACTCGCATAATAAGCGGTCCGTGCCTTCTCAGCCATCTATACTGAGCAGTGGTTCCTGATGAAAGTGTAAACTAATTGCAAGTCATTTTGGCTACACACACCTTTTCAATAACTGAGAGAGAGTAGGAGATAACTGCCAGTAGCCAAGATCCTAGAATGCCCAAAACAGCTTTCCTTTTTCTTGGAAGCTTCAAGTACACCACTAACTGGAAATTACCATCTAAATACCATTTGTCTTTTTGCTTGTTTCATTCTGGGGGCTAAATCTGTTTTGTGTGGTAGTGCTCGGTGCCCTGCTTCCTCCCTCGCACTCTCGCGCACCCCACGCTGCCAAGTCGCTAGAAACCTGTACGGAGCTGTGTGTGGCATTGTAGTTTCTCACCTCTCTCTGTCCTGAATTCACATGAAGGAATTTTGAGCACATTCCGGTGGCTCCTGCAGGTTTGTAAGGAATGAAGGGCTTTCCCCCAGTTCACGAAGCTTGTTCTTTCCTTATCCCTAGTTGGGAGTGGATGCTGGGACAAAGGAACCCCGATGGGCTTCTGATAATTCAGGGCTAGCGGCGAGTTCTGAGCTGCCACCCTTCTCCTCAGCTGAAGCATGACTGTGGGTCCCCATAGCTGACCCGAAATAGGCCACCCACGTCACGCGCGTGGTGTTTGTGTGCGTTTGCAGGCTGGACAGCGTTGCACGAGGCGTGCAACCGGGGCTACTACGATGTGGCAAAGCAGTTGCTCGCCGCAGGCGCCGAGGTCAACACCAAGGGCCTGGACGACGACACTCCGCTGCACGATGCAGCCAGCAACGGGCACTACAAGGTCAGTCCTTGCTGCTTCGGGCAGTTGGCCGCCGGCCTGGGCCCAGCCAGCCTCTCGCCTTGCTGGGTGCCGCTGGCGCCATCCCTGTCCCCGGCCACCAGCAGAGGCCTGCACGCCCTTCGGCAGTTTGCTGCGAGCGTCCGTGCTTGGGCTCCCTCCTCGCACTCAGGGCGGGGGATGAGGACCCCCGGCAGCCTCTTCTTTCCATCGCCCGCCTCCAGTAACTGGACTTGCGTATCTCACGACCCCGCACAGGCCCAGAGCACGAACTGGGTGTAGCCCCTGCCTGCCTGCCTGTGTGAAGGCACGGCATTCCTCTGTGATGAGCCGGGCGGCCTGCCTAGCTTAACGCTGCTGCCTCTGCATCGCTCTGCAGCAGGGCAGGCTGGAGCGTTGGACCTGGGCAGCAGAGCCTCTGCCACAGGGCTCCTGCCACGTTCCACCGATCAGCCCGGCAGGCTCCGCCCCACCGCACGTCTGGCCAGTCTCCGGGGTGCTAGCATTTTCCAAGCTTTCGGATGACCATGATTTCCGCTTCCTCTAGGTGGTGAAGCTGTTGTTACATTACGGAGGGAACCCTCATCAGCTTAACAGGAGGGGAGAGACGCCATTAAAAGTAGCAAATTCCCCCACAATGGTGAACCTGCTCCTGGGGAAGGCGACGTACCCTTCCAGCGAAGAGAGCTCCACAGGTGAGACGCGGGGGCTGGCAGGAGGGGGCGCTGGGAAGGGCGCCACTTGCCCGGGCAGGGCGGCACGCGCTGCAGAGGGCCGCGGATCCCGTGGACCCGCAGGCCCCGTCCCATGAGCGAAGGCCGAGCTGCACTCACAAGCGCCGCTCCTGCTGCTTTGCTGCTGCTCCGTGATCGGCGCTCGCTCGCTCGCTCGCGTCCGCCTAGCCCGCGAGGACCGTGCTCCCGGCCATCTTCAGAGCCTTTGCCGCTAATCGCTGGCCGCAGCCCCGGTGAGTTTCCCACGGCCCTCCTCTTGTGTGGCCACAGCAGCCCACCTTCAGAAACCGCCCCGCTCTTCCAGTGGAAGCTCCAGGAGCGGCCAGGCGAACGTGACATCCAGCGTGTTGCTGTTGCCGTCCTAGAATTGCCGCTGCTGCTGCGTGAGGAAGCGGCGGCCCAGCCCGGATGCGGAAGAGGGCTTGGCTTTGGCCGTTTGCTTCCCTCAGAACTGCGTGTGCGGGGCAGCCTCTCGCCTCCCCCGGTGCCGCAGACGCGCCCTCCCAGAGGTCGTGGCAGGAGCGGTGGCAAAGGGTGCTGCTGAGCAAGGCGCTCCCTGCCCACTGCTGCGGCAGGTGCCCGCGTGGGGTGGGCGTTGCCTGCCCTGTGGAGCAAAAGTGGACCGCAAACGTAGCGCAGAGCCTGCATCCTCACTCGACGGGCCTCTTCTCCCCGGCCAGCCCAGGCTGCTGGAACACTTCCCCTGCCGTGAGACCGCTCTCGCCAGCCGCTTGCTGCCCTCCTCCCGGAGCCGTGCTGGGCAGGGGGAATCTGAGGCCTGGCAGGGATGAGCCCGGGCCTCGAACAGGCCCGTCCTTGGCAAAGCACGGACTCGCGGCAGTGCTGCGTTGCGGGTGTCCCCGTTGCTTGCGGAGGGGCCGGATGCGGGCTGCTTTGTGCTGCTCGGCATTGGACTTGGCGAGCCCGTGGGAGAAGGGCCTGGAAGGCATCGGGGAGCGCGTGCAGAGTGGCAGGGAATCGTCGCACGGGGGCGGCGACTTGCGCACGGGGCGGGCCTCACCCTGACCACCAGCTTGCTGTGCCCTCCTTGCTCCGGTCCTTTGCTCGTGACGGTAGGATAATACGGCCCAAGGACCTTGCGAGGGTTTCCGAGATGACGGTGCAGAAGCGCTGCAAAGCGCTGCTCAGCTATTAAGTGGTGACCGTGGGGGGCATAACCTGGAGAAGTTGCTGGGCGCTCTTCCGCCCCTTGGGGGGGCTGGTGGCAGAGCACGAGCGGTGGCCGTGTGTGCTTCGAAAGAGCGGAACAGCCGGCCCCTGGATGCTCAATTCACTTGCTCGTCGATCGGCGCTGCAGGCGTCTGGCGGCGCCCGAGGTCCTGGCCCCGGCCCCCTCCGGATGCTGGACGTTACACACAGCAGCGGCTCTCACAGGATTTGCACCCTTTCTGCCCAGATCCTCCAAATGGATTCCTGCCACTGGCTCCCCATGCGGCTTTGGCCTTTTATCCCAGAGGACCTCTCAGACCTCCGCGTAGGTAGAGCAGCCGCACTGCTTTGCACGTGGAAGATAGATTATCCGCTCAGGTATTGTGAGCAGGTTTCTGTGGAGAATGATGCTAGCTCGGGGTCAGCAGGTGCTGCGCCTCACCTTTTGTTGTGCTCTTGTTTTCCCAGAGAGCTCAGAAGAGGAAGACGCTCCTTCCTTTGCACCGTCCAGTTCCGTTGACGGCAATAACACGGACTCGGAGTTTGAGAAGGGCTTGAAGCACAAGGCCAAGAGCCAGGAGCCCCCCAAAGCCATCACGCCCGTGAAGGATGAATACGAGTTCGATGAGGATGACGAGCAGGACAGGGTCCCGCCGGTGGATGATAAACATCTGTTGAAAAAGGATTACAGGAAAGAGACAAAAGCAAATAGTTTTATTTCCATCCCAAAGATGGAAGTGAAAACCTATACTAAAAACAGCACAATCACACCAAAGAAAGCAGCCCATCGCATCCTTTCCGACACATCTGATGAGGAGGAGAGCAGCATCACTGTGGCAGCTGGAGAAAAGCTGCGGCTGGCAACTCACTCGCTCCCACCCAGCAGCAAGGCCCGGGAACCATCCAGCGTCAAGCAGCAGAAAGAGAAAAGCAAGGTGAAGAAGAAGCGCAAGAAGGAGGCAAAGGGCAAAGAGGTTCGGTTTGGGAAAAAAAATGACACGTTTTGTTCTTCCGAGTCAGAAAGTGGAAATCTAGAGAGTGAGGAGGATGACAGGGACTCTGTGCAAAGTACTAGCTGCGTAAAGGACTCTAGGCTGGTACTAAAGGACTCATCCCTGTTCAACTCCCTTTCTGCCTCCTCCGCTTCCTCCCATGGGAGTCTGGGGTCACAGAAGCATAACCCTGCTCTCGCAGATCAGCACTCCAAGCACTGGAGGACAGACAGCTGGAAGACCGTCTCCTCGCCAGCCTGGTCCGATGTCAGTTCCTTATCGGATTCGACCAGGACGAGGCTGACCAGCGAGTCTGATTATAGCTCCGAGGACTCCAGCGTGGCCTCGCTCAAGCCCACGAGGAAGAAGCAGGAGCCCAAGAAACGAGCTCAGAGGGCGGCGGCAGCTGCTCCAGTGGTGGTGGTGGAAAAGAAGAACTCGTTCCACGCGAGCGTCGATGGGGCTATTCCAAAGCTGGACAAGGAGGGGAAGGTTGTAAAAAAGCATAAAACAAAACATAAACACAAAAACAAAGAGAGGGGCCAGGGCCCCGCTGCCCAAGACATTAAAATAATGAAAGCCTTTTCGTTTGACTATGAGGACTCTAAGCAGAAGCCCGAAAAGGCTTTGATTGTAGAGGCTGACAGCCCTGTGGAGAACAAGCTCAAAGTGCTGAAGCATGAGAAGGAGCACTTCAAGAAGGAGGACAAGTTTCTGAAAAACAAATCTGAAGAGAAGGAATGGCCATTTAAAGATGAGGCTGGGAAAAACTCCAAAGAGGAGAAATCCTTGAAAAAAGCCAAGGAGGCAAATAAAGACGCTAGTAAATCGTTCAGAGAAGAAAAGACGAGCAGGTTGGAAAAAGAGAAATCCATAAAGGAGAAATCTCCGAAAGAGGAGAAACCTCGAATGCACAAAGAGGAGCGAAAGAAAAAATCCAAGGACAAGCAGTTCAAGGCTGAAAAGAAAATTGATCCAAAGGAGGAGAAAATAGCAAAACCGGAGAAAGAGAGAGCCCCCAAAGAGGAGAAAGATAAATGCAAAAAAGACAAAGGTTACAGAGAGGAGTCCAGCTTTGAAGAGTTCAGTAATAAAAACCAGTTTTTGGATAATGAGGACTCAAAGTTCAGCCTCTCGGATGATCAGCAGGATCGGTGGTTTTCAGACTTGTCTGATTCTTCCTTTGATTTCAAAGGGGAGGACAGCTGGGATTCACCAGTGACAGACTTCAGGGAGGTTAAAAATGACACCGTGGCAAAACTCATAATGGAAACAGTGAAGGAGGACACGAAAGACAAGAAGCGGGAGAGCAAAGCAAAAGACAAGAGGGAGTACAGCGAGAAGCGCAATGAAAAGGACACTTTTCTGAAAAAGAAAGAGCGTGAATACATCGAACGGAACTCTGAGAAGAAAAAGGACCAAATTGAAAAGCATAAAGGTATTCCCAGCTACCTGCCTGAAAAGAAAAGGAAGGATTCTGCTGAAAGCTTTAAAGAGAGAAAGGAAAAGGACAGCAGTGAAATCAGCAGAGAAAGAAGGGAGCTGTCCGATAGCGCTAAGGAGAGAAAAGATGTTAAAATAAAACAGGAGGAGTCCTACAGGGAGGAGTTCAAAGACTATAGCTGTGAACCGTTTTTCAAAGAAAAATCTGATCCAGAATTTAGTGGGAAAAATGTGGAGACCTGGGAACGGCATCATTCAGGGAAGGAGAAGAAGGATGTCTCTGAAAAAGAGAAGAAAGAAAAATTAAAAACAGAAAAGTACAAGGAAAAATCCAAAGTGGAGGACAAAGAGAGAAATGAAAAGACTCTTCCTGAAAAAAACCAGAAGGATAAAGAGTTGGATAAAGGCTTCAAGGAGAAGAAAGAGGCAAAGGAGAAATACAAAGATCCTCACAACAAGGAGAAGGAAAGGAAGGCTTCCTTGGACCAGGCTAAAGAGAAGAAGGAAAAGAACTTTGCTGGGGATAGAGAAGACTTCCACGAGCGGAGGGATGAAAAGAAAGGCCGTGACAGGACCTGGTATAACATCTTGGACATCTTCACTGATGAAAGTGAAGACGAGAAGGAGGACTACAACCTGAGTGGATTTAAATTGGGTGAGGGCATCGGGAGCGAAATGCACCGGATGGATAGCCTGCAAGAGAAAGATGACGGAATGGCAGCTGAGAGAGACCTTTACCTCTCCGAAAAGCACCGGAAATATTCCTCTGATAGGCAGCATTCTGCTGAGAAGCAAAAGGAAAAGGAGTCCAAAGAGAAGAAAAAGGACAAAGGGCTCCCAGAAGGTGGGAAGGAGAAAAAAGAAAAAAGCTCCTTTGAGAAACACAAAGAGAAGAAAGACAAAGACTCAGGTGACAAGTACAAAGACAGGAAAGACAGAACCTCAGTAGACTCTGTCCAAGAAAGGAAGAACAAACAGAAGCTCCCCGAAAAGGTGGAGAAGAAACACTCTGGGGAAGAAAAGGTCAAAAGCAGGCACAAGGAAAAACTGGATAAAGAGTATAACAAGGAAAAGCGGTCTTCAAAAAGTGGAGAAGCAGAAAAGAGCATGCTGGAGAAGCTGGAGGAGGAAGCCCTCAATGAATACCGGGATGACTCCAATGATAAAACCAGCGAGATCTCTTCTGATAGCTTCACAGACAGAGGGCAAGATCCAGTGCTTACCAGTCTCTTCGAGTCTTCCAGCCTTTCTCTTGCAGAGGCCTCTGAGGAGAAGTTCAAGGAGTGCCCTCCTTTGCCTTGCTTGCCAGATAAACTCAAGGAGAAGGAGAGGCACAGGCATTCCTCCTCCTCCTCCTCAAAGAAAAGCCATGAAAAGGAAAAAGCAAAGAAAGAGAAAATAGAGAAAAGGGATAAAACAGACGACTTTAAAGATTCTAGCAGCAGAAAGGATTCTGCTCAGTATGAGAAGGACTTTGCGATGGACGGAGAAGGCTTTGGCATTTCATATACCACAAAAGCAGAGGCTGAAGAAGAACTGGACAAAAATATGGAATACTTGTTTCCTGAAAAAAAGGATAAGAATGAATCAGAAAGAGAACTCCCAAAGAAGGCAGAAAAAGATAAAGCTTACAGTTCCAACACAGTTGGCACAACCAAAGAGAAAAAGAAGAGAGAGAGGCACAAAGAGAAATGGAAAGAGGAAAGAGAGAAGCATCGAGACAAACACACCGATGGGTTCTTTAAGCATCACAAGGAAGAGCAGAAGTCTGCCAAAGACAAGGAGAGTTCTCAAGTGATCATTCTTAAAGACAAATCTAAAGAGGATCCGCCCAGATTGAACGATCTCAAAATGAAGGAGCGCCTCAAGGAAAATCAGGAAAAAGACAAAGTGGATTGTCTTAAAATGAGCAACGGGAATGATAAAATTACCTTACCCAAAGACAGCAGCAAGAAAGACATCAGACCGAGAGAAAAGCTCTTGGGAGATGGTGACCTGATGATGACCAGCTTTGAGAGGATGTTGAGCCAAAAAGACCTTGAGATTGAAGAACGCCACAAGAGGCATAAAGAGAGAATGAAACAAATGGAGAAGATGAGGCATCGATCTGGAGACCCCAAACTAAAGGACAAGGTCAAGGCCAATGAGGACATGCGCAAAAGGAGCCTGGACTTGACCGCAAAAAAGCCATTAGCGCTTGACACTCAGTTAAAGGACAAAAAGCTCAAGGAGCTAGGCCCACTGGCTCCCATAGTGTCCCCTGATAACAAGACCCAGCCGGCTGTGGGGGTAGACTCCAAGGACTGGATCGCTGGTCCCCAGCTGAAGGAAATCTTACCTGCTTCCCCAAGGCCGGATCAGAACAGGCCAACGGGGGTGCCGACACCAGCATCTGTCGTTTCTTGCCCGAGCTACGAGGAGGTGATGCAGACACCGAGGACTCCATCCTGTAGCAATGAGGATTACACGGACCTGATATTTGAGTGCACTGATTCCCAGCATTCATTGCCTGTCTCCACCATGTCTATGAATGCCTGTTCGCCATCCTTCTTCGACAGATACTCCAATCCGTCAAGTGGATTCCCTGAGAACCCTAGTCAGACCCCAACGAGGACCATTCCTTCCACAAACCTCCACCGTTCCATGTCTGTGGATATCCGAAGAGCGCCAGAAGAAGAGTTCAGCGTTGGGGACAAATTTTTCCGGCAGCAAAGTGTCCCGGCCGCATCCAATTATGATTCCCCGGTCCAGCACTTGATGGAGGAGAAAGCACCCCTGCCCTCGGTTCCCATTGAAAAGTTCCCATGTCTGTCTCCGGAATATTATTCACCGGACTATGGAGTTCCATCCCCCAAAGTGGAGGCATTGCACTGCACCCCGGGAATGGCTGGCAGCGTTGTCCAGTCCCCCGAGAGCGTGTTTTCTGGATTGCAGGCCAAATCCTCTCCTTCTCACAGGGACGAGCTGCTCGCCCCCTCCGTTGAAAGTGCCCTCCCACCGGACCTCGGCATGCCTTTGGATGCCACGGAAGAGCAGCAGGCCACTGCATCCATTGTGCCCCCCGAGTCCAGCTTCTTGCCGCCCATTGAGGAGACTGAGTTTGACCCGGGCATGCCAGAACAGAACGGTGCTGAGTGGGAGGAGAGCGCTCCCAAAGGAAACCCGGACCCCCCTGTGCTGCCCAGTTTAATTGGCAACCCTTCTGAGCACCCGCCTGGCTGGTCAGTAGGACCAGAGCTGCTCCTGAAATCTCCGCAGCGGTGCCCTGATTCTCCAAAGCCGTTCGGTTCTCAAGATGCCGCACATCCCACGGCAGCGCCCTTCATGTCTGCAGAGGCCCTGTACCCCAGCTCCCCCGTGTCTTACCCCCTTTCCGGGGTTGAGCCAGGGCTGGATAAAGTGAAGCAAGACGCCGAAGCAGCCGTTCCAACGGAAATGGCGACTGCAGAGCAGCAGTCCGCCTACGGGGATCCCCCTGCCAGGCTAGAGACGTTCTTCAGTGGCGGGAAGCCAGTCCCAGAAGAGGCCTCCGACACGCCCGTGCGGCCGGCCAGTCTGCCGGCAGAATCCCAGGCGGAGGCCGTTCACGCGCTCGAAAAGAACCACTTGGAGAACGGCACCTCTGCTCCTGCGAACCCCGAAGAACAAGTCACGTGGCCTGACCCATTCACACATTCGGAAGATGACCTGGATCTGGGTCCTTTCTCTTTGCCAGACTTGCCGCTTGCAACAAAAGATGTCCCAGAGGTTGAAACCGCAGAGGCGGCCCAGGAAGGCCATGCTGCAGCTTCGGAGGCACTTGGTGCAGCAGCACCTGCAGATGTCAGAGGGGCTTCAGGGCCTGCCAGTGGCCAGGAAGAGCCGGCTCTGAAGCAGCAGAGCCTCCTGCCCGGGGAGCCGGAACCACGGGCGGCCGAGCAGAAGTCGGAGGAGGCCTTGCTGGACGTCGTGTCAGGCGCATCAAGTGCTCCGGAGCCGAAGGGCATAGAACAGGCGGAGACTCCCCAGAACACTCAGGAGGCGGTGCCGGCAGAGGCTGCCCCCCTGGAGCCCACGGAGGCTGTCGCGGACTGCAGAGCCCCCTCCTCGGCTCCCCCTGCCTCAGATGGCAGTTCTCAAGCTGGGCTGAGCCAGGAAGGCAGGACTGAGGGCGCCGAGGCTCAGGAGGGAGCTGGCGCGCAGGGCGCCGGCCAGGCCCCTTCCTCCCCGGCTGAGCCGCCGCGGGGGAGCGCCCCGGTGGAAGTCACGGAGCCCTCGCCCAAGCCAGTTCCCGAGACCCCCAAGCCTCCCAAGGTGGAAGAGATCCCCCAGCGGATCACCCGGAACCGAGCCCAGATGCTCGCCAACCAAACCAAGCAGAACGCGGTCGCTTCCGAGAAGGAGTGCCCCCCGGCCTCTGCCCCGCCCACACGGGCCAAGGGGCGCGTCGCGGAGGAGGAGGACGCCCAGGCGCAGCACCCGCGGAAGCGCCGCTTCCAGCGCTCGAGCCAGCAGCTGCAGCAGCAGCTGAACACGTCCACCCAGCAGACGCGGGAGGTGATCCAGCAGACCCTGGCCGCCATCGTGGACGCCATCAAGCTGGACGACATCGAGCCCTACCACAGCGACCGCTCCAACCCGTATTTCGAGTACCTTCAGATCCGGAAGAAGATCGAGGAGAAGCGGAAGATCCTCTGCTACATCACTCCCCAGGCGCCCCAGTGCTACGCGGAATACGTCACTTACACGGGCTCCTACCTGCTGGATGGCAAACCTTTGAGCAAGCTGCACATTCCCGTGGTGAGTAAGCACAGCACACACCCTCTCCTTGCTCTCCTCGTAAGCCTTGCGAGGGTGGAAGCAGCCCCCCATCACGGGCGCTTCCGGGGGAGCCCCGTGGGGGGCTGGATGTGCCGCCCGGGCATGAGGAAGGGCCCCAGCCTGCCCCCTTCTTCCGACTAGCACCACCCAGTCGCTTGCGGTGAGCGCAGAGTGGGGCTCTGCCGGCCCTGGCGGGAAAGGGGCTCGGCAGGAGGCCCGTGAGGAGGCCGGCCGGGCTTCAGCGGCTCCTCTGCTCTTTGAGCGGCCGCAGGGAACGCCCCGAGAACGACGACTCGGCGCGCTCCAAAGAGCCTGTCGGGGGCTGGCTTGGGTCGTGTGAGGCGGTGGGTCCCTCCGGCCCAGAATTGGCAGGTGGCAGCTCTCGAGGGTTTGGGGCAGGACGTTGCCATGGTCACACCTGGAGATTTGAAGGATGAACCCACGACTGTGGCTCCACACGGAGAACATACCCCAGCCTGGTGGGAGAGCCCATGCAGCAGGCCCCGGCTCATAGGACACAGAATAGCAGAGGGGGAGGGGGCCCACAGGGCCTTTGCGCCCCACCCTCCGCTCGGTGGGGGGCATGGTCAGTGCCTCCGTGGGGCAGCCCCTCCCAGCCCGAAGCTGTCTTTTGCCAAGCAGCAGGAGTGAGGCAGCCGCAGCTCGTGAGGCTGGTTCAAATAGCCACCCTGCAGGTGCTTGGCCTGTGTGGAAGGAGGGGTGCCTGTCCCTGGAAGGGACGGGGGGACGCGACCCCGGCACCTCCCAGCTCTGGCCGGGTGCCGGTCTCCTTGCAGCAGGAAGCCAGGGCCACTGCGAGCGCTGCCGGAACGTGAGCAGCTCTGTTGCTTGCAAGCAGAGGTGGTGGTGAGCCTGCTTCCGGCTTTCCGTCTGTTTCAGATCGCGCCCCCTCCGTCGCTGGCAGAGCCCCTCAAGGAACTCTTCAAGCAGCAGGAAGCGGTCCGCGGCAAGCTGCGTCTCCAGCACAGCATCGAGCGGGTAACAGCCCCTGCCTGGGCGCCCAGAGGGTCCCCCAGAGGAGGGTGCCCCCCGCTCTCCAGTGACATTCTCTTCCTCTTCCCAGGAGAAGCTGATTGTGTCGTGCGAACAGGAGATCCTGAGGGTTCACGGCCGGGCCGCAAGGACCATCGCCAACCAGGCCGTGCCCTTCAGCGCCTGCACCATGCTCCTGGACTCGGAGGTGTACAACATGCCTCTGGAAAACCAGGTGTGTGCCTGTCTCCCGGGGGCCGCCTTTCCCGCTGGGCTCTTCCCCCAGGCGCCTGGGATTGGCAGGTGCTGCTGAGTAGGCGTGGCAGAGGCCGCCCTCTGCTCACCCGGGGCCTCTGCCCTGTCACTGGCTCTGAGCCGGCGACCCTTGCAGCTCTGGCTGGACTTTGCCAAGGACTGTGCAGGTGGGAGGGGCGGCAGCCTCTGCGCGTTGGCCTTGAGCGGCTTCTGTTGCCCATTCTGAGGCTGGCAGTGTTGCCCCAGGCCCCCTCGGAAGACGCGAAGCCCCGCGAGGCTTTCCAGCTCTGCCCCAGGCCCCCTCGGAAGACGCAGAGCCCCGCGAGGCTTTCCAGCTCTGCCCCAGGCCCCCTCGGAAGATGCAAAGCCCCGCGAGGCTTTCCAGCTCTGCCCCAGGCCCCCTCGGAAGACACAAAGCCCCGCGAGGCTTTCCAGCTCTGCCCCAGGCCCCCTCGGAAGACGCAAAGCCCCGCGAGGCTTTCCAGCTCTGCCCCAGGCCCCCTCGGAAGATGCAAAGCCCCGCGAGGCTTTCCAGCTCTGCCCCAGGCCCCCTCGGAAGACACAAAGCCCCGTGAGGCTTTCCAGCTCTGCCCCAGGCCCCCTCGGAAGACGCAAAGCCCCGCGAGGCTTTCCAGCTCTGCCCGAGCTTGGAACAAAGTCTAAAGGTTTCGAGCAGCAAATGAGTCAGCGCCGAGCATCCAGCACAGCCGCGGCTCTGCAGAGCGGTGGCTGCAGCACCTCCTGCTGGCCCTGCGCTTCAAAGCCGCTCTGCCTGCTTGCCATGAAGCTGTCATTTCAGTGGGAGGCAAAGTGCTGCATTGCAGATGTCATTCCCCATGCACGAGGCACCATAAAGGGAATTTATTAGCTGCCCATCGCATTGATCTTCTGCATCTGATTTAAAGCTCCCCAGTTCTCAGCAGGCGAAGAAAGAAAAACGGTTGCTGCTCCGTAGCAGGTGCTGGGGTGCGGCTCTCGGGATGGGGCGCGGTGGTCCTCCTGCGCAGGGCCAGCGGGGCGGGGCCTTGGCCCGGTGTGCGCGCACCCCAAGCCACGAGGAGAGCACGGGAGAGGGGCAGCTTACGAATGCAAGCCGGTCGGTCCGAGGAGGATCAGGCGTGCAAAAATAGCAGGCCTCCATCTGCGCCCCTGAGGCTCCTCCAAGGGGGAGGGCAAGAAGCGCGGATTTATTTTGCTCCGTGTTTGCCTCCCGCAAACTTGCCCGCGTCCTGTGTTTCTCAGGGAGATGAGAACAAGTCCGTCAGGGACCGTTTCAACGCGCGCCAGTTCATTTCCTGGCTGCAGGACGTGGATGACAAGTACGACCGGATGAAGGTGGGTGCCAAAGCCCCGGCCCGCCCCGGAGAGCGGGAATCGCTCCCCCGAGAGGTGGTGCGCATTTTCGGAAACGGAGTCAAGGGGGGAGTTCATGCTGCGCCTGCTGCCCGCTTGGGAGGCAGCTGGCCTGACCCCAGAGGCGTGTGGGGTGGAAGCGACTGGGCGGCAGAACCGCCCTTGCATGCTCAGGTGCGGCTCGAGACACGGCTGCGCCCACGGGGGACGCAGGCCAGGCTCTCTGGAGCCTCGCTCAGCTTCTGCGCACGCTCCAAGGTGAACTGCAGCCGGAGTGCCAGGCACCTGCCCGCTCCATTTCCCCAGGATGCCTTTGCCCCGTGTGTTTCGAGTCACACCTGTTCAGAAAGAAACAGGTTGCTGCTGCTCGTCAGGTGATGGGTTGGGGGTGCAGAGAGAAAGCCCAAAGGAGTCACTGGCAGCCGGGAGGCGGGAACGGGAGAAGCTGGGCTCGGTCGGGAGGACACAGGCGTGGACACAGCAGCGGCCGGGGGATCGGAGTCCGGATGGGATTCCGGGGAGGGAGGGAGGGAGGCCAGGTGGAGCCAGGAGATTCGGGCACACTCTCCAATCAGCGTCCCTCCTGCACTGAAGTCTCCATCCAAATCTCAGATTTGACCTGCCCCTGTGAATGCGAGGCAGGACGACAAATCTGGGGACTAGGCGGATTCTGAGGGGTTCTGGGTTTTTGCCCCAGGATCCCAGCCACTGCTAGAACCGCATTATGTCACCTCTTCAAGCAGAAATGTGTTCTGTGATTTGGTTTCGGCCACATCCTGTGTTAAGGGAAAACAGGACGGTTCCTAAGCAACCATTCCTGGGCTCCAGTGCGGGCGAGGGCAGGAGCAAGAGCAGGAGCAGCAGGCGACAGGTGGCAAGGAGGGGGGGACTGGCTGGGGCAGGCAGGGCGCCCCCACACGGTCCCCAGGGAGCTGAAGCCGTCGGGCCTGTGCGGTGCTTGAGACTGGCTGGCTATGCATGCGGGCGCAGCCTGAGGAAGGGGCCCCGAGTGCCTCGGCTTCCCTGGCACCTCCGCTTGGCTGAGCACCAGGTGAGCCTCCCCCCACCCCCCGCCTTTCCTGCTGTGGCTTGCCAGGTCAGTGTGCCACGCAGCACCGGTCCCCCGTCCGTGGCTGGGCCAGGCGGCCTTTTGCCAGCAGGTGGGACGCTCGGCTCGCGGGTGCCTGCCCTGTGCGGCTGCTCTGCTCCCGCTGTGCTGTGACTGCTGGCGTTCACAGAGCCGGCCCCGCTGCAGTGCAGAGCGGCCCCTTCCTTTATTTCTCCTCCTCCAGCAAGTCGCTTTTCTTGCTGGGCTGTGAAGTGCACAGAAGGCGAAGCAGGTGATAAGTGACTGGACGTATTTACTGTTCTGATAACGAGCTTTTAACAAAGCTGAGAAAATTTGCTTTTCTGGGGAGTGCTTCAGCCACTCGTGTACCGAGTTTGGTCCTGGCCCGTTGCCTGCTTGCCCTCTTGCAAGACGTGTCGGCCAAATGCAGGTGGCCTCAGCCGCTCTCACCTGGCGGCGCGCTTCCCCCCCCCCCCCCCCCCCCCCCCCCCCCCCCCCGTGCCCCTGCCACGATTGAAATCTTGCATTCTGCTTTTGAGGAAGGTGTTCTTGCGTTGTCCCTGGGGGGTTCCTGTTTGAGAACCCAGCCGTACCATTTCTGAAGACTGAGCAACAGGTTTTAAAGCCCAGCACTCAGGCCTCAGCCCTCACTCCGAAATTGCTCCAGCAGGGGCAAGGAGCCGCCTCCAGCCAGGTGGTTGCCAGAGGCTCTGACTGCAGCCCCCACCTGTCCCAGCTGGCATGGTTGATGGCCTGGGATGTGGGAACTGCAGTCCGAAAGACTGACTTGTGAAGGTCGCACAGTGAGGGAGCCGCGGCTGCGGGACCTGTGGGAAGGCAGCCTCGTTCAACGTGATCTGGCAGCTGGGCCCGAAACGGGCGGCTGAGCGGCACCACGCCACCCCTCTCGGCCGCCCCGGCCAGCGCACGAGGTCCGCTTCTGCCCATCCAGCCCCGGTACTTTGGGGGACCCGTCTTCGCTTCTGCTCTGAGCGGCCCTTCTCGTAAGGAGAACCCACCGGCTTCGCTCCTGCCCGCTGGGGCCCCAGGGAGCAGCGCTGCCCAGCCAGCTGCCCAGAATGCCCGGGGAGGCCCTGTGAGCGGATCCTGAACCAGGGCTTCGTGCCCACGACCGGCATCTTGGGCGGCTCCCGCCCCTCTCACGGCGCTCTGCTTTCTGTTCTGGTCCAGACGTGCCTGTTGATGCGGCAGCAGCACGAAGCGGCAGCCCTGAACGCCGTGCAGCGCATGGAGTGGCAGCTGAAGGTGCAGGAGCTGGACCCCGCCGGGCACAAGTCGCTCTGCGTGAACGAGGTGCCCTCGTTCTACGTGCCGATGGTGGACGTGAACGACGACTTTGTGCTCTTGCCGGCATGACGGGGCCACGCCTGGAGACACACTCACCGCAGACTGGCACGGGGGGTGCCCACTCCACCCCCCAGGGACGGGTGCAGGTGCCCACACACACCCCAACCGCTTGCTGATGAATCCCTAGACAGATGAGGAGGAAGCAGAAAACAGGAGAAAACAGACGGCACTTTCCACACACTCTCCCCGCGCACCAGCGGGGCAGGAGGAGGGGAGGCTGCGCCCCTTTCACACCGGTCGGCCGGCGGCGGAAGGCAGGCGGGCAGCCTCCACACAGCAAGCGCGTGTCGGACCAGTGGGAGGAGGAGAGGCTGGCGGAGCAGGCGCGAGCGCCCCCAGGACCCGACACGACCCACGCCACGCCGGTGCCACGCGGGCGAGGCCTCCGGGGCCGCCAGCACGCTCGCGTCACAGCACCTCCGAGCGCTTCGATTCTTCCATTTGCCCGCGGGCAGATCCTGCTCTGGAGACACCGCGGGGCAAACCACGGGGTGGGCGGATTCCTGGGGGCGGGGGGCGGGGCGGGGGGGTCTTTGATCTCTTGCTGCGGCCAGGCTAAGCAACAGCAGGTGGCGCGGAAGGTGCCACCGGGCCCTGCAGGGCGCGGGAGGAGAGCCGAGCTGCGGGCCTGGGCCCTGGCGCATGCTCCGGGGAACCCACCAAAAGCTCGGTGAGGCGGCAGGCACCTGGCCCGGGACAGCGAGCGAGCGAGCGCCACGGAGCAAGGACTTGGGGAGTCTGGTTTTACATGGAGTAAAATCCATATGGTTTATATATATATATATATAAATATATATATAAATATATATATATTTTTCCTTTAATCTTGGGCATTTTGTTTCTCTTTCGGAGAACATAACTTGAAAAAAGAAAAAGATAAACACTACAAGAGCCAATACTCATATAAAGAGAAATTGTATCCCATAAAAGCTGTACAGTTTTATATACATTAACAATGTACTTTTTGCTGCCTTCTAGATAATTTATTTTGCAACACATTACTGCACAGTTGTAAATAACTTATGTACTGTAACATCACTTTCAGTCATGTGTAAAGAAATAAATTAATTAATTAAAATTTTCTTGGTATGTATAGTTCACCCGAGGCAGCACTCCCCTCGCCCTGCTTCTCACCCCGGGGAGGAAGGGCCGCGGCCCCCTCCAGGCCGAGGGCCAGAGGGGCCACGGGGACATCTCTGGAGCACATGGGAGGCGCACATTTCCAGGCACCCTCCTTTCTCCGTTGCTCTTTCTCCTCTGTCCAGTTCTTCCCGAGCAAAGCTGTAGGGAACTGTATGGGCAGAGCTTGAAGCCATAAACCAGTCTGGAGCGCAGGGTGGCGTTGAAAGGCATTGTGCTAGCGGCAGGGCCTGCAGAGGGTGGCGTTGGCTCCTGGCAGAGCCAGAAGGCAGGCGTGATCCGAGGCCCCTGCTGGGGAGAGCCGCCGAGCCCCTCGAGCGGGCGCCAGCATGGAAGGGCGGCCCCAGAACCAGGGGCCTTCCTGCGCAAGGGCTGATGGTCTGCCGGGCTCGACGGGGCTCTGGCCGGAGGGCCCTGCTCGCACGCGGCTCCCGGTTGCTGGCCCAGGCCAGAGCGGGGCAGGGCAGGCGCAGGGAGGGAGGCGCTCCTGAGCCTCGGGCAGGCGAGCGCTTGTGGCGACTGCCCACCGGATCCGCCCTTGCACTGCACCTGGAGCAGTGGCAGGAAGCCTTGTGGTGCACCTGGTGCCGGGGAGAGGGCTGCTTCCAGCCGGCAGGGTCAAGGCCCCGTGGCCACAGGCCGGGTGCAGCGGAAGCTTGGGAAGGGCCAGGCCACGTCCCCGGGAGGCACGACAGGAGCCGGTTTGTGCAAGCAGGCCAGGGACCCGCGGACCTGCAGCGCAGGGCAGGCGTGCGCCCCAGTCTGCACCACACGAGGGACGGGCACGCGGGCAGCATCGACGTTTTGACTTTGCGGAGCGGGGCAGGCGGCTTCCCTGGGCATGTCGCTCAGCATCTAGGGAATAAGCACGAGTGTCTGTCTGCCTGAGCCAGCGGGAGAAACGGGGGTCTGACTGGCCACGCAGAACGAGGGGGGCTCTTCGCGTCCTCCGTGGCTTGGGCCGGGTGTCGCTACGGAATACGCCCCTTCCCAGCTGGCAGCCGGCGCGAGTCAGGCTGACTGCAGGGGGTCCGCGATGCGTGCCGTGCGTCTGTGGCCAGACTTCGGCACCCACGGGCACGGGCACGCCCACCGTGGCACTCGGTCGCAGCTAGATGCGGTGACGCGCGCGTCTCCGTCGAAAGCCCCGATCACGGGCCCAGCGCAAGGGGAGCCCTGTGCCTGTTAAGCCGGCGCTGGGCGGCTGCCGCTTTGGCCCTGCCCTCCTCGACTCGACTCCGGCACGACTCGCAGAGTAGCAGCTGGAGGGCGCGATTAGCTGAAGGATGCCTTGGAGGGGGAAAGCCGCACCCCTGACAGATCTGCCGAATGCCGATCTGGTGGCGGCAGCGTTTCAAAACCTTTGACGGAGCCGGTCCACCTTCCTTGCAAATGTGAACTTGTGATCGTTCTTTCCTAGGAAATGTTTATTGTGCAGGAAACTCGCTGCTGGGTTCTCCTTCGCCCTGCGTGGAGAGGATGCAACGGCTCCCCACTTCCCCCGCTACTGGTCAGAACTCTCGCGTCTGACGGCCGTTTCTGACCTGGGCAGGGCAGGACGAGGCTTTTGGACGGCAGCAATGCCTCCAGTGGCCCGTCAGCCGCCTGCCTCTCCCCGGCGTGCTGCTTTTGCCAGTTGACGGCGCGCAACGTTCAGGCCCTCCTTCGACTTCCTCATCCGTGGCCGATCAGACCCCCAAGGGAGGCTGCTCCGTGCCGCTCAGTCTCTGGGGTGGCCTGGCGTGCCTGTGTGTGCGCGTGTGACCGAGAGAGGAGACGGCGTGGAGGCCCGCGGTGCAGCCCTCGAGAACCCGTGGGAGGGTGTTCTCTGCCCGAAGCAAACGCTCCTGCAGTGGTGCTGGGCCCGGGCAGGGCGCCCGGCCGTGCCGGGCAGCCCTCCGTGCAAGGCCAGGAGAGCCCGGGCAGAGGAGCGGCAGGTTCAGCTTGTCCTGCCCAGAACCTGCCCAGGTGGGAGGGGGTCTGGCCCTGAGCGCCGCCTCCCTTCCTTGACTGGTGGAAATGGGTGGGAAGCCTTCCAAAATCTTCCGTTTAAACCCAGCAGCACGACACACGTGCTCCGTTGCTTTGGACGTCTGTGTAAATTCCCCCCCTGGTTCAATGCTTCCGCCAGATAATGTATATATACATGTAAATAACACACTGGTCAGTTCTCGCCCTTCTATTTGTACTCGTGCGACTTGCGTAGACTGTGGGGTTGAAACAGCGGCAGGGTTGCGTTGTCTGTAATGTAACGATGTGATTTTTTTTACCAATGTAGTTCGTGTACATATTGTTTGGCGGTGCTGGTGCTGCCGCAGCCCCGCTCTGCCACGACGCCGACTGTCCGTTCGCTGTACAACTTCCTGCGGAAAGAGACAAAAGTGATACAGATGTTATTTTCTACAGTTGCATGTACAGAGAGAAGCGCAGAGATGCTGTTGTCCCTCAAGAGATAATGTTCATAAATAAATTTTCTAAAAAAAAAGTCTCTTCCCGGCTCTTGATTTCCCCGCTTGGCAGGGGTGTTTCCGCTCATCTCGTGGCAGAGGGGGAGCGTGCCTGGGCAGCCTTCACGCTCGCCCTGGCGTCCAGAGGAAGAGCTGCAGGTCACGTCTCCGTCCCTGGATGGTATCTAAACGAGTCATCCACCGAGTCCGAAAGTGTCCTTTGCCAGGCATCTCCGGGGTGGTGGGAGGGCAGCTCGGAGGCAGAGGCCCTGCTCGCGTGCAGGAGGTCCTGGGTCGGCCCTCAGCATCTTCCAGGGGACTGAGAATTTGCCCTGCCTGTATTTGGGGTGAGCCCTGTTTGCCTTCCCCAGCATGGTGCCCTGGAGATTGTACAATACATTTTTAACTGTTATTCATACCAAGCCATCGTTCTGAAGCAATCTTAAAATGTTACTTTAAAATACATGCATTAAAAACTGTATTGATGGTACCTGAGAACAATGAATTCACTCCCTTTGGAAGAAGCAAGAGACTAAGAGCCAGCCCTGCACCTGGAGGGAGCCGGAAGCAGCGCAGGAGAGTGCTGAACTGCATGTCCCGCAGACCAAACTCCCAGAGCTCTGGACTCGAGCCCCCATGGGCCTCAGCCCACGGTCGGGAACACTGGGAGGCGAGGCAGGGAGGCTGCTCTGAGTCAGAGAAGCCCGTTCCTGGGAAGAGGTGTGAGGAAGCCGTGCAGAGTGCCCTGCACAGTATCGGATCGTCCTTCATGCAGCTCTGCGAGATCTTGGGCAGCTCGAGGTGGCTTTATGCAGAGCTGCCCGCGCTTGATGCAAGGAGCCGAGGCCAGCGTCCCGCTGCAGGGAGACCCTGGAAGTCTGTTGGCCTGGCAGGCCTGGAAAAGCCTGGAGTGTGGAGCAGGTGACGACAGCATCCTGGGATGCAGGGAAGGCCCACCGAGGTCCTGCCAGGAGACGGCTCAAGCTGAGCACAGAGCCCTGCCTGAGTGGCCGCTGGGGCAGAGTCATCCTTCCCATCGAGAATCCAGAGCACTGTGATGGGGGCTCCGTTTGATCTCTCCCAGCCCGTTTCCAATGGCTGGTTTGCTGCAATCGCAGGCACCGGTGGACCAGCCCTCGGCTCCCTGCTTCGCTGAGGGCTGTGGCCAACCCATTCCTCCTTTGCACGCCAGCCAGCCAGAATGGAAGCCCCTGGCCAGGGTGGCCGCATGAGGGAGTCCTGGGCCGGGCCTCAAAGGCTGTGGAACTGGGTCCCGCAGCTCCGAGGGGCAGAAGCCCACTCCCCACGCACGCCTGGGAGGGAGTGACACAGAACCACGGGCAGAGCCCACGCTGGAGAGAACACTGTGAGATGCCCGGGCATTTTAGCTGTGTGGATACGCACGCAAGAGTAGAAACAATTAGTCCTCCTTAACGTGCACAGGAGGTGAGGCCGACCAATTCCTCATGTGAACCATCTCAGAGATAATGCATCCTTCAATTAATTTGCATTCTGCTTGGGATCATCCCAATCCAGCGGGAGGAGAATATCTGTGCAGTCAGTTATCACGCAAGGGAAGGGTTGTAGAGGGGGCATGTCGAAGGACGGAGTTACCCCTTCCCTCCCAAGCGAGCGTCCTCCTTGAAAACTGCGGTCTGCCTGGCTAGTAAATGGGCTTTAAACCCTTCCAGTTGGACCAGTTGACATCCAGGGCTCTGTGGGATAAATCCGGAGCCCTGGGCAAGAGGGCTGGGCATGCGGGCCCGGCCAGTGCGGAGGGGAAGGCGTGGGCGGGCCAGTGCCCAGATCCCAGCGAGGAAGCGACGTGTTTGCTGTGCGCCACCAGGTGTCGCCCGTGACTCGCAGGAGCCAGGCCCGCCGGCCGCCCGCCCGCCCAGGCCAGACGCTGTGCCCCGGCTGAACCGAGCCGCGAGCCCCCCCCCACCCCCACCCCCCAGCGGCGAGTGACCCCAGCCAGGACTGTCGGCGCTGCGCGGCCCCATCCGCTCCCCAGGGCTGCAGGCAGGCGGTTTCCCGGCCCAGCCTGGAGATGCTGCTGCGCGACTGTGGGACTTGTGCAGGCCAGGGGGGCTTCCCTGCCGAGCTGGCCCCCCGCCCGTGGGGGGCCCGTGCTCGCAGCGTCTGCCCCACCCTCCTCCATGGCAGCGGCGAGGCCGCTGTCGCCACAAGCGTGACGAAAGCGCGCTTTCCTCGCCCCTCGGACAGAAGGGATGTTTGGAGCTCGGAATTTCACAAGATGCGCAAGGAGCAGGATGCGAGCATTGGCCTCGCAGACTCGCCCATGTGACACCTGAAGCGCCAGCTGCACGTCCCGCGGAAGAGGGGAAGGGCAGCAGGCACGTGTTTGCTGGGGGAAACGGCCCGGAGGGGCAGAAGCGTCCCGCGCACGGCGCTTCCGTTTGGAAGATGGCGGGGGAAGCACTGCTGGCTCCCACTTCAGCAGAAGACGGCAGAGCAGCTTGTAGGAGAA